CTTAGTTCGCCTTGACTTCCCAAGTTGCTTTCTAGCGGTCGACCGAACCTGCTTCTTATACAGCTCATCTGTTGTACTTGGTTGCATTTATGTTTTTAGGTAACTTGTACACCCCTCCCCCCCCCCCCACCAAACGACGTCACAAAAGCAATAAACACCCGGTGACACAAGGTGCCACCATGCGCATGAGAATCCCCCATGAAGAGGTCCCGGAAACTCCGTTCAACCGTTTGTTTTAGATTTATGTTTTTCTTTCTAGAACTGACAGATTTTATGCTAAAACCACTTGGACTCTTACAATATTGTTTCTCACATGAACTCACATTCAGCCTTTAAAGATCTTTTCTTATTGCCTTAACTGTAGAATAGAAAACATTTATGACTTATAGTGCGCGAATCTATCACAGAAAAATGCACAAGTGTGTCCTGAGCAACTCAGTACTAGTTATATTTCTGTTTGTCTACTTTATTCTTATGCGTGAATCATTTCCTGTAACTTTTTTGTGTGCGTGTGCCTGGTCAAAGGGACAATACTGGTGACATTTCTAGCTTTATTAGGTTATCTCTCTTTCACCAACAAACACAAGAAGCAAATACTTCGCAACAAAGACCGTGAGACTCCATCAATGGGCTGAAAGAAGTGCATACTCCGAATCTGTATCAATATTTTGGATCCAGAGCTAGCAAATTAACAGCAACGAGAGAACCTTTAAATACATTAAACAGCAAAGAGAGGCCCCTTAACTAATCATTCTTGTTTATTCTTTATGAATGTGTGATTCCTTCTCCCGTAACTCTTTTGGGCTGGTATAGGGGACATTACCGGTTAAGTTCCTAATTCTTATTTGATTACATATCTTCCAACAGACCCTTAAAAAAAAAAAGCCTCTGCCCAGGGTTGCCAGATAAAAAACGTCATATTATGCCAAACCATCACCCAAAATATGCCATAAAATTGCCAAATAAAGTGTAACATTGTACTCACTTCACATCAAAAGCTCTAGATTGAATTCTTCACTGTCATCCTCACTGGAACCAGTGGAAGATACAGCGTAAACCTTTTCGGATATAAAATCTTTAAGCATTTTCTCAGATGGAATGAATATTTTTTTTTCTGCCCATTGACGTTATACAGTCTGTTCTTAAGACTTTTCTGGTGCATGGACAATTCTTGGTGTAGTTCATGAGGATCAACTTTTGTTTGCTGAAAAAGACTATTTAATCTTTCAAATTATTGTACAATTGGTGTCGCAAACACAAAGTACGAACAATTATTGTGGTCTAACAGCATTTCTTTTAACAATCTTACTTTATATTTTGTGTCAAACGTTGTCTGTGCTAATTCAGCTTTCAATCCTTTCCAGTTCACCAACACATTGAACATAATCTTTCCACGCACAAGCCACCTAGTAGATGACAGTTTCTCAAATGGAAGAGGAGCAGTTCGTTCTGATTCAAACTCCGTAGATGTGTTCAATACTCTCAACAGTTCTTTATAGGCTTCTCATCTTAAACCACTATGACAAAAACACTGAGGTATTTCTGACAGTAAGAAACCGATATTTGATGTCAGCTTGGCAATTGTACTACAAATGCAGAGTGCTAGTGAATGGCAGATACATCTGAGCTGTACACAAAAAGGAGACATCTTTAATTCTGGACCACACAGAGTTCTTGCACCCGACCATTTTTCAAGTGCCATCTGACGCAAACCCAATGCTATGTGTAAGACTCTGACCACACCTTTTGATTTCCTTATCAATCAAATTAAATAAGTTTTCTCCTGTAGCCACTTGCGAGGAAATTAAAGCGAGAAATCCAGTAAATATTACATTTTTCCTGTCACTGAAAAAACTAACTTTAATGCACAAGTACTTTTGAGAGGAAACGTAAGTAGACTCATATATAATGATAGCATATTTCTTGTTGTGAAAATCCTCAATAAGGTCATCCTTAAGTGCAGGCGATATAATATGTTTTATTAAGCATAAACATTTAGTTCTATGCAACTGTATGGGCTCCAATGTACTCCCATGACCATGCGCTCTCATTCACTTAAATGATCAATTGTGCGTATTGCACAATGGCAGGGCATGCTTACAGCAAGTTGCAACTCTGCTGCTTTAACTGTATCATTACTTTGCCTAGGAGTTATTGTTGTAATAAGCTGTGGCTGGCTTTTTTAACGGAGTTTTCATCCTTTTTTTTTTTGATTTTTCATGATTTGAAATGCTAGTAATTCTTGGTGCAACAGTGCACTGACACAGTTTACAATATGCTGCCTTTGATCCGTCTGAAGATCTTTTGAGCCATGAGTATGTTTTCTACCAATTACTATTATACTTGCGATTGCTGTCATAAGATGCTTTCCATTTTTTGGATCACGTGGCCATTGGTAAAAGTAATAAAATCTATCACAGATAGAACTAGGTCTATATCCTATCTATTTTCTGTCCTCAAGTAGTTTCTGAACAGTCTGAATCACTTGGTATCAGTGGTGGGTTTTTGTTTTATATCTCGCATTTATTCTAGAAAAATAACATAAATTACAGAGGTTTATAGCAGTCACGATCTGTTTAGGAAGACAACAAAACAAAAAGAAATGGCGCGAATCTCCGTTAGTCCGTACCTGGACATCACAGCAAAGTCAAACTGAAATAAAGATTTTAACTGTAGGTCTACATTGATTTTAGTAAATTTGCGTGTTTATAACAGGGGAACCATGAAGAAAATGTGAGCACATCTTGATAAGAAATGCCAGGAAAAAACCAAATATGCCAGAATATGCCAGTTCAATATATTTTGCCAGTTTAATTTCAAATATGCCAGATTTGTGGAATCTGGCATAAAAAATGCCAATATGGCAACCCTGATTAGGGATTGCAAAGGACAGAGCGGAATAGACTGCGAGCCCCGCGCGCCTTTTACATCTCTAGACAACATTTCGTTTGGGGCGGGGCTATTCTTTTCCCAAAATAAAAATAAAAAATAAAAATGGAGGGAAGGGGTGGGGGTGCCCCTCCTCACCATGTATGCAAAACAGTAATTAAGAGAGAGAGGCTGAGACTCCTTCAGCACCCCCTCCCCAATTAAAAAATTTCGGATTGAGATTCCACAACCCCCTTTTTTTTCTACCACGCTCTGCTCAACACCTTATACATTTCCAGTCAAACAGGCGGAAACTTGGGGATCCGCGAGTGCTCCCACACAAAAGAAATTAAAGCGGGATGACTTACACACTCCTGTATTATTATTATTTTGCTGAATGGCAAGTGAATATAAAACATGCTTGAAATAATCTGCACTTTTAAAGAGAATGTCTATACATTGTTCAAGGGGATCTTTTAGTATCTGTATAAAATGTGGGGGTGGGGTGAGGGGGAAATGCTGAGTGCCCAACAAACACCCCGAGCAAGGGGAGGGAGGGGGTTGAGTGTCGCAAAATAAGGGAGGGGGGGGGAGGAGCTGCTGAGTGCCCATAAAACATTGGGTAGGCCCATAAAATATTGGCCGGGGGGGGGGGGCAAAAGCGTCCAGGTTCTAGCGATGATACTACAAGTCCTAAGTGACATCATATAGCCCAACTGGACAATATTGATGAATGCTATATAATATTTTGTTTTCACAAGTAACAAACGTTTCAACATTTTCTCCACAAAACAAAAACAAAGTAACGTCCTATTACAATGAACGTACAACCAACAGGTTGGCAGCAGCCTGATCGCCGTTGCCAGTTAGCAGTAATCCTATTGGGTACATGGAGGGTCACAGATGTTTGTGGGAACACTGAAAATGTCGGCCGTGTTGGCACGAAACAAACCACACACGGCGGATCGCGCTTTGTAACGCGTCAGATAGATAGATAGAAAGAGAGAGAGAGCGAGAGAGAGAGAGAGAGAGGGGGGGGGGTAGAGAGAGAGAAATCTACTGGGGGGAAAGGGGGGGGGGTGGCAATGTCCTAGGCCTCTGGTTTGTTTGTGGGCCGCTACATCTTCTCAGCTTTTCTGAGTGCAATATGAATTGATTATGCTAATATCGTGACGTCACATGAGAGTAATTAAAAAATTGTGCCAGTCAAAAGTTTTAAGTTTTTCTCCACTAGCACGGCGTGGTGACGGCGGCGGCACAGCTTCGGGCTAGCTTTCTGTGCGACACACTTGACTACACCAGTTCTGACAATCAGCAGCCGGTCCGTGGAGTTAGTGCGGATATTTGCAGTGATCGGGCGGCGAGTTGTCGGAGGCCGTGACGCGGAAACACAAGTGACCTAGATCATGTAAATATGTCTGTCGATGATGATGGTGGCCGCCGCTTGTTGTTGTTGTTGTGTGCGCTCTTGAGTTTCTCTAGTTTCTCCGTTTCTAGCATGCCTACCGACGCCATCCCGGATTCTCATCTCATTAGCCAGCCAGTCGAAGATGTCTAGTTTGTGTCAGAGCCAGGGGCCGCCCTGTTTGGAGCACCCCAGTTACGTGTTTTATAAATCGCTGAAGTATACGTGCAACAATGGCAGCAGAACATTAACTTGTGGAGACTTTTTCTTCATCGACCTGACCAGCTCGGCCCCGCTTTGTATCGGTGAGCTGGAGCTGGTCTGGAGGGACGTCGCCTCCAGTCTGCTTTTGGTTAGCGTCAAATTATATTTCCGACCGGAGCACACTCCAGAGGGAAGACAAGATGAGACGGGAGAGGTAAGTTTCTGCTACGATTAATTAATTGTCTGTTGTTGGCAGTAGAAAGCCGTGTTGTCTTAGCTTAGTGATCGCCATGATGGGTATCCGATCAGTGGCTGGTTGTTGCATGATGCCTGCCTGCCCGTCTCACCATCTCCGTACATCCTGTTTGTTTCTTCTCACAAATTATTATCTATCTCTAGATAACAGCCGCCGCGTCCAGACGAAATACTTCCCACAAATAAATAAAATCTCACTTGTCAGATCATGGAGTGAGTGTGTGTGAGAAAGTAGTGTGTAGTGACCCATATATGTCTGTGTGTGATCTTGTGTGTTTTCGTCAGTGAGCAAGACGTACTACATGACGCGACTTTTGCACTCACTGCTGGCGTCCTCACTAGCAACACCTGTCAGCTCTATGGGAGGGTACTGTCTACCTGGGTATCACTAAGTGTTGCCCGACCCACACCCCATTCACCATATATCAGTTGGGTGATGGGATGTGGTTAACACCACTGATGTGTAAAGGTGATGTGATGTGGTCTATACACGCATGTGTAGAGGAGATGTGATGTGGTCTATACACTCATGTGTAGAGGAGATGTGGTGTGGTCTATACACTCATGTGTAGAGGAGATGTGATGTGGTCTATACACTCATGTGTAAAGGTGGTGTGATGTGGTCTATACACTCATGTGTAGAGGAGATGTGATGTGGTCTATACACTCATGTGTAAAGGTGATGTGATGTGGTCTATACACTCATGTGTAGAGATGTGATGTGGTCTATACACTCATGTGTATAGATGTGATGTGGTCTATACACTCATGTGTAGAGGAGATGTGATGTGGTCTATCCACTCATGTGTAGAGGAGATGTGATGTGGTCTATACACTCATGTGTAGAGGAGATGTGATGTGGTAAATACACTCATGTGTAGAGGAGATGTGATGTGGTCTATACACTAATGTGTAGAGGAGATGTGATGTGGTCTATACACTCATGTGTAAAGGTGATGTGATGTGGTTCTATACACTCATGTGTAGAGGAGATTTGATGTCAGCACACTCATGTGTAGAAATAGAAGTGATGTGATCTTGTCAGCATGCTTATGTATAAATAGAGGTGATTTGTTCAAGACACTCATTTTTAGAGGTGATAGGATGTGGCCAACACATGTGTAGAGGTGATGGTCACTGATGTGGTCAACACAATTGTTGTAGAGGTGATGTGATGTTTTCAACACATTCATGTTTAGGGGTGATTTGATATGTTTAATCACTAATGTTGAATGTTAGCGTACAGGTGGCAGTTTCAAGTGCATCAGAATGCTGCAGTTGACACATTCATATCTCTAGGTAACCAACCACATGAGTATTGACTGGGCAATGTTTCGTGTATAAAATATTATTTTGTTCCTCTCTACTATGTTTCTTCCTGCACTTGACACTAGCAATGGTTGCAAGTATGTACCCAGAGCCATCAGTCAACTGAATGGTGTTAGAGCATCATTGCAGTGTGTTAAATGTGCTCTGTTGACACAGAACATAGGCTGCTTGTTGTGTCTTTGTTGTACAGTTGCAACTGGCAGTCATGCTGTCTCCCACATGCCCTGCTATGCTCTATAAGACTAATTTCTAGTTAACATCCTGTGTGACACAAGACTTATTTATCTTAAGGTCCATGCCATGTGGCTTTGGTAGTCATGACTATCCACAACCTTCCACCTCATGTACTTTCAGTCAAATTGACACAAATGATCCTCCATGTCATGATGTCAAACTGTCCAGAATCTGTTCTCTCTGCCTCTCCTCCCCTCCAGCTTTCCTGCTGTCACAGTGTAATCCGGTTTTCTTCTTCTCATCACATGGCCAAAGAATATGAGATATGTGGCCTAGAGCTCAGTGAATGTTTCACAGTTTCTTGATCCTGTTCCAATTCTCTGCTGAATAGTTTATTTAACGAAGAGAAAGACAAAATCCTGTACCCTGCTTTTGTAACAGTAGTATGAGAGTCACACCATGGTAGACTACGCAGTATTGCTAAAGGCAGCAGTGATGCTACAGTAGCCAACCGTCATTGTGGAGGTAGCACATGTTTTTTTGGTTACCCCAAATATAGATCAGATACGTCACCACAAAGAACATAATGGAATAAATACGAAAATACTGGGGAGGGGGCTCTTATTAAAATAATAACACTGGGAGGTGGCTGAGCAATACCTCACCCCACCAGTTCACACATTGTATAAGCAAATAATTGGTAGGGGGGAGCTAAGACTTTGAGTACCCCCTCCAACCCAAAATTTATTTTATACGGGTGGGGGGGGGGCGCTTACCGCCCCTGCAGCTGACAGTTTAATAACAGGGCTAAGATGCCTCCTGTAACCATGTATATCAATTATGTTTACATGAAATTTATTATGTTTATTTTCCATTCAGCTCACTATTATTCATGAGATAAATGGTAGATAACTATGATAATATACATAAGATAATAATGCATGAAATAATAAAAAAAAAATACTTGTACAGAACATTTCTCTACATGTTTGAAGTCTTTAAGCCCCTTTTAAAAGTATGGGGGGGGGGGGGTGCTAAAGCGACATAAGCTCCCATCTTCCGGCGCCTGTAATAGAGGGGCATCTATTGAACCCACATGCAAAAGTTGACCAAATTAGTACAACCAATAAACAAATCAATCATTCATCCATTACAGGGGCTTTTAGTTATCTTGTTTATTTTTCTGCGTTAAACCATCGGCATATTATCAATTCGTTGCCTGTCTGCCATAGTTGAATCTACCTGCTTTGTTAGAGATTGCCACACCCTCCTGCAGCCATTGTCATTTCACTGTCCCAATTATAAATGGGACTGATGATGTGTTTTCCCCCAAATGTTACCGCCTGCCCTCTCCAGCTCCACGTGAAACAATAGTCACAAGCCTTAAGACATTCTGTTAACGTTCTTTACAAAACAAGACGGTATATTACCAAATATTGATTGCTATTAAAATTGGCGGCGATCACGTGAAGCCGCCGTGATGTGACCTGTGGCAGACAACACAACACGATCATTGCCGACCGACCGAGCCGCTGTGCTGTTGGTTGTAGTCGCCGAGTGTGTGTGTGTGTGTATGCATGCTAGCAGCTTCCATTATCGGCGTGCAACTTATGTCCGCCTGTACGTACAGAGCATTAATGAACTTTCCAGTAACCGGGCCTAGATCAGCTATTTCAACATTGCTACACTGGCTTGAGGGAGAACACACAATACTGGCGAATATTTTGAAAAATACTGGCGCCCATTGAATGGGAAATACTGGCGAATATGTGACGGGGAAAAAAACAGCCAATATTCTAGGGGTAATACTGGCGACTATTCTAGGGAACAATACCAGCCAATATTCTAGGGATAATACTGGCAGATATTTTATGCGAAATACTGGCGAATATTTGAGGGAAAATATTGGCGACTATTCTAGGGAAAATACTGTTGACTGTTTGAGGGAAAATACCGGCGAATATATAATAGAGAATTGAGGTTTTTATGGTTATTTAAGGAGGGTAGAATTTAGGACATGTACTTTTAGATGTTTATATAGGAGGAGGAAAAGTGCTTATTGCAGACAGTAATTAAGGGGGAAAGTGCTTGTAGCAGACAATAATTGAAAGGAAAAGTGCTTGTAGCAGACAATAATTGAAAGGAAAAGTGCTTGTAGCAGACAATAATTGAAAGGAAAAGTGCTTGTAGCAGACAATAATTGAAAGGAAAAATGCTTGTAGCAGACAATAATTGAAAGGAAAAGTGCTTGTAGCAGACAATAGTTCAAAAGAAAAGTGCTTGTAGCAGACAATAATTGAAAGGAAAAGTGCTTGTAGCAGACAATAATTGAAAGGAAAAATGCTTGTAGCAGACAATAATTGAAAGGAAAAGTGCTTGTAGCAGACAATAATTGAAAGGAAAAATGCTTGTAGCAGACAATAATTGAAAGGAAAAATGCTTGTAGCAGACAATAATTGAAAGGAAAAGTGCTTGTAGCAGACAATAGTTCAAAAGAAAAGTGCTTGTAGCAGACAATAATTGAAAGGAAAAGTGCTTGTAGCAGACAATAATTGAAAGGAAAAATGCTTGTAGCAGACAATAATTGAAAGGAAAAGTGCTTGTAGCAGACAATAATTGAAAGGAAAAATGCTTGTAGCAGACAATAATTGAAAGGAAAAGTGCTTGTAGCAGACAATAGTTCAAAAGAAAAGTGCTTGTAGCAGACAATAATTGAAAGGAAAAGTGCTTGTAGCAGACAATAATTAAGAGGTAAAGTACTTATAGCACCAATAATTAAGAGGAAAAATGCTTGCAGCAGACAATAATTGAGATGGAAAGTGCCTGTAGCAGACAATAATTGAGAGGAAAAGTGCTTGCAGCAGACAATAATTGAGATGGAAAGTGCCTGTAGCAGACATTAATTCAGAGGAAAAGTGCCTGTAGCAGACAATAATTGAGAGGAAAAGTGCCTGTAGCAGACAATAATTGAGAGGAAAAGTGCCTGTAGCAGACAATAATTGAGAGGAAATGTGCCTGTTGCAGACAATAATTAAGTGTTTGAAAGCGGAACAGGTTACTGAAGTGGAATTAATTCTTTGGTGGCATAATTTGCTCACCCATTTTGAATTCAGCAAGATCATAGACAGTGTACATTTTGACAGCATATTTTAACCACCACAACACAGCAAAAACCTAGTGATAACTGAAGGCCCCTGTAGGCGGTTTCTGCTTATTTGCCATTTTTCAAACCACGATGCTACAATGTCACTATCCTATAGAAATGCTTCCAAAACACTCTTCAGTGATGAAATGTCACATTGATTTCTTCTCCTGTAAAATTTACGATCAAAAGTCCCAAGCTTTGTGTAAACTGTTGTCTCCACCCATATGATCTCTTATCACCTCTTGGCCTAACCCTATTTTCCCAATATGCTTCAAGGCTTGGGAAAGGGTGCTTTACCCCCAGTATACGTG